AGCAGCTGGTGACTACTACTACTGGGGGCTGCTCATATCACCCCTTCTAGTAGACAGCCAAGGCTTAAAAAAAAAAAAAAAGAAAGAAAGAAAGAAAGAAAGAAAGATAGAAAACTGAGAAGGATAACTGCAGGAAATGAAAATGGGAAAACATTTTCGGTAATTGAGAGTTGCCTGTGATGATGGCTATGGTCCTTGGCACAGAGTTTTCTGATTGTCGGTGGTTAGAAAGTTAACCTGGTTAGAAAGTTAACCCAGGTTCAACCACCACTACCTTTTCCGCTGTTGGGAAAAAGGGGAAAAATATCCTGCTCCTAAAACATCGGAGGCTGGGCCCGACGACGGCTGCTGTTGATAAATCTCACTGGTGGCCATCGTTACAAATTTTCGATAGGGAGGGGGACCGGAGACCCGTGAGAAATATATTTGTCACAGGCTCACAGCCCCTCCTTTGTTGTCCTCTTCTCCCTCTCTGCCTACGGTTTACCGGGCAGCTCTGTTTGACAAGAGAGAGAGAGAGAGAGAGAGAGAGAGAGAGAGAGAGAGAGAGAGAGAGAGAGCATTGAAGATGAAGACTGCAAGACTACAACGCACTGGCATTCATCGATCAAGACTTCCTTGAAGTTCATTCCTTTGGCGCTGGACCTCTTCGAGGTCTGGTGAGTAGAGAAGAGAAGGGAGATTAAACTAGGTTGGAGAATCTCGAGAGGGGATTCCTTCTTGCAGACAACGAGGCAACCATAGCCAGATCCCTGTGAGGTGATGAATTGACCGAGAAGACTCCGGAGAAGAAGCGGAGAGAGACTGGAGGACGATGCAACCACTAGTAATTCAAATTCATCAATATCAAATTATCAATTCATGAAAATTGCAAGTGAAAAGGTGTATGGATAAATAAAAACAATCGATTTTATAATCGTAATTGTCAATCAAGAGTTCTTCTGTGTCCCAGTTCATTGCGGTTGGCAATGCTCTCATGTGCGGCGTCCTTAACGTTGCTACCGCCATTGGCAAAAAAATGGCGATTGGTTCTTTTCATGAAAGACTTGGACCACCTTGTTGTGAATATGATCAAGCTTGGGCATATGTTCGGCTATGTTCATGCGAGGAAATGATGCACCTGGTTCGGATCTTCGGATATGTTCATGCTAGGAAATCACGCACCTGGTCACTTTGGGCTCGTTGCCGGATCCACTGCAACTCTGGAGGTACTGGTGCCTGTGGCTTTGACAACATCCAGTGGAGTTGGAATAATAAGTGAAAAATACGGACGATGAGCATACGCAAGCTGCACTTCCCCCCTCCCCTCCCCCCCCCTACGCCTGCACATCTGCACAAGAGATGAATGACCAGTGAATGAAAGTTGGAATGTAAAAAAATGTGAAAAGAGAAAAAAGGGGAAAAAAGAACAACAGAAGAATGCATTGATGATCATTGATCTCACATCATCTTTTTTTTTTTTTTTTTTTTTTTTTTAAACTCACATCATCTTCATGATGTTCTACTCTGCCGATTGATTCGTGAACAAAAGGGATGGTGTACACAGCCCCACAATACACAGAACATAAGCACTGCCAAAAAAAAAAAACAAAGAAAAAAAGATCGAATTATTTTCTGACGTCAGAAAGGTGAGGGGGATTCTGCCATGGCTGTTGACAGAGGCCCCCTCACCTTTATCCAACGTCAGAAAATAATTCGGTCTTTTTTTTTTTTTTGTCGTTTTGCAGTGCTCATGTTCTGTGTATTGTTCAATGTTTAAAAAGATGTCCCCAAGGACAGAAAAAAATAAATTGGGAAAGGTTGTCCCCCCCGGCCCGCCCAATCAGCGGCCTAAATGGAAGGACAGAAAATCACAGGATTTATGTTGCCCGCTTGATCTTACTTAGATTTTATTGGAAGATGTAATCTTGTTCATATCTCTTATCTATTTGGGGCTTAACAATCCAGAAGAGGGAGATGAGTCTTCGAAAAAAAAAAAAAAAAAAAATAGAGATGAGATCATGAGTCTGTTTTTTTTTGTTTTTTTTTTTCTCAATGAACATTGAACAGCCTTCAGTGAACGGAGGTATCTTGCACCCTGGAGACAGAAAATTGCTTGCTGGCTGGCTTGCTGGGTTCTTAACTTCTTACTATTTTGCAATGGCCGCACTCCACTGGTGCTATGTGCATCCTTGGAAAGCATGAACCTGGCCATTAAAGTGACCAGGTGCGTGATTTCCTAGCATGAACATAGCACCATTGACGCCTCGCTCGTCCTGTGTTCCAGCTTCTAAAGCAATAAATATTTAATATTTATAATTTTATACATATGGCTTTGCTCACTCTGTTCTGTCTGTTCCTTTTTTTTTTTTTTTTTTTTTTTTTTTTTTTTTTTTTTTTTTTTTTTTATTTTATTTTTTCCTATTTTTTTTTTTTTTTTTTTTTTTTTAAACTGTTCATTCCTAACGCAAGGCTATGGTTGTCTGTTTTCTTTCCTTTTTGTGTTTGGGATGGTTTAGGCACTCTCAGGCTCGCAATTTCCAGGTTAGTTTTCTCACGTGGTTTTGCCTCTCTGTTTTTTTTTTTTTTCTGCCCAGGATTATTTTTTTTGCCCAGGATTATTATTTTTGTGTGGTAGTAGAAGTAGTGTGCCGCCGGGGGAGTGTTTTGGGTAATGCAATATAGACAAGCACACTCGATGCAATATAGACAAGCACACTGGATGCAATATAAACAAGCACACTCGATGCAATATAGACAGGCACAACCTCCGTTTTGGGTTTAGGGTTTAGGGGTAGTAATGTTTTGGATGTTGTTTGAGATTATTATGTTTTAATTTTTAAATAAGTATAACAGCGCTTAAACCACCAGTACATCCAGCTAACAGCCGCAGGCCCTTTTCGGAGGCCGCCCGCCGCCAATTGGATTTATCTACGGCGCTGGGCCTCCGAAAAAATCCCGTAGGCGACGAGTTTTCTTTTCAGCAAGGCTGGGGCCGTGTACTGGCGGTTTAAGGAATTGCAGGATGTATATAAACCCATCTAACTTTCTATATCTTTTTTTTTTTTTTTTTTTTTTGGGACTTTCTGTATCCTTTGAGCATTACATGTGTTTTTGTGTCCTTTTCCTTTTTATTGGTGGCAATTTAAATTTTGAAACTTTGGATAGACTTTGTTTTGCAGCAGTGGGCTCATTTCTTGATTTTGTTTTGACTTTTTTGCTGTGAAGGGCTGGTGCTGGGGCAAGGATCCTGCTACGGCCTGGCCGACATGTTGTCAACGAAGTACGTAGGAATGCGGGGAACACGACACGCCCAGCACCATTGGATCTTGGATCTTCTATCTCCTCAATACAAGCGGAAGACATGTCGGCGGAGACGGTAGTAGACTGCCAAGGGGGGCCTTGCCTCCGCGTTAAATGCGCACCGCCGTCCAACTGCGTAGATGCGAATGTCACACTGCAGGGTTTCAGCATCCAAAATGGTGAGTCGCCAAACGGAGGCGGCTGTCTGTACGTGGAAGGGGCCGCATTGCACATAAGGTACTCCATTTTTTTTGTACCCCTCCACAGTAACAATAACAAATCACCACACACTCCGAAATCAAAAAAAAAA